ATAGAGAGGGGGATTGTGGGGAGAGAGAGAGAGAGAGAGAGAGAGAGAGAGAGAGAGAGAGAGAGAGAGAGAGAGAGAGAGAGAGAGAGAGAGAGAGAGAGAGAGAGAGGAGAAAACCTTCCCTGCCAACCCTCTAAAGTAAAACGATGTTAAAATAAAACAACAAACACAACCCCCCTCCCCAACAAAAAGCAACACCAACAATCAAACAACATTGTTCATATTCTGTCTTTTTTTGGTGTTTCCTCATTAACAGACAGCTGAAGACTGTCTCTTCCTAGAGATCTACACTCCCACGCCAACACAGGCGGTCAAGGGCCCCTCCAGCTTGCGCCCAGTCATGGTCTACATTCACGGCGGGAGTTTTCTAACCATCTCCATTACCGCCAAGGAATTCAACGCCAGCATCATGGTACACCGATCTGATGTCATTGTGGTGATGCTTGAGTACAGGCTAGGTAATGTCATAGACTCTAGTTGTTTTAAAAAAATCTTTTATCCCTTTCCCATTTATACAGACTTCAACAAAAGTGAAGGACCACCTTGAAAGACAGCCTTGATAAAAAATAAAAAAATCAGAAAAAAGAGGGCAAGGAATGTTTTTCAATGTTTTGCTCTGAAATTGTTAATGGGTAACCAATGCGTACTTCAAAGCTGCGCGGAAATCCTCGGGGAATTTTAGCCACATTTGCTGTTTTTTATCGACTCGAGTGCGACACCAGGAACATTCTTCAGTTAAAATTTCTAGTGCAAGTCATAAAAGAACGAAACGGTCTCGAACTGTGCTCATTTTGGTGGCAATATAAGGCGCCGTTTGCTCAAAATCCAGTATTGCATTAAAATGCCACCAAGACGAAAGCCACTGGATTCACTCAAGAGCGCCCACATGCAGGTCGACCCAAGAAGACCACTCAGAGTGTTTGCAAGTGGTCCTTAACTTTTGTTGAAGTCTGTATGAGATTGATGCAATCTGATTAGTAGAAAAAAATTGCACATTTTAGATCTATGACATATAACTGTTACAGATAGAGATTCAAGGATTATGATGAAAGTCAATGATCTGAGAGCAATGGTGATTTAAGGAATAATGGTGGTCATTAGTGATGATGTGGGATTGCGTTTTAGTAATGTCAGCGTTAGTCCTATCTTCCCCTGCTCCAATGAGTCAAGAGGTACGTGGTCACCCTCTATCCTGTTCCCTATTGGAATCATCTTTAATGTCACCCCTTAGACTTTAATTATGATATCCTAGATCGGGTACTGTCATGGCTGATCCACTCTTTTCTCTCTATAATTTCTCTTTATAAAACTATTTTGCTGCGCTAAACCACCACATCATGTGCACGCAAATGGGTGCTCTGGTGTGGTTTGCTTCTTCTTTCCTATCGAACATCTATCGTCTTTATCTCCCCTTCTTCTTTTTGTGTTTGTTACTCTTGTGTAACACCTCTAATCTTCGGCACTTATATGACCTTATTGTGCTGCAAGTACCGAAAAACTCTTACTAAAACTAGCAAAAGAAGAGCGAAACATCCGCCCCCTAGAGTCGATTGTGCGATCAACGTTTCCCTACTTGCTTTTTATTTGGCTCCAAATAGAGTCAAATGGTACACTCCTCCAACGGCGAACCAGAACTACGTAAGAGTGCGCGGTCTAGGATATCATGGTACAAATCTATGGATAATATTGTAATTATGCTGCCATCTTGAAATGTTTTGGTTTTACATGTAATATGTAGCTGTATAGTTGATGCAAAGATAGTACATGTTATGTAGACTCTTTGGTTGATTTCGGTATTGTATTCGTTGCTTAAAAAGCAACAACAACAACAACAACAACAACAACAACAACAACAACAACAGTAGCTTGTGTCTACCATTTTTGACAGTGACCAAGAAATGGCTAGGGTACTATATACTGATATATATATATA